AAATGTATGGAGTACTTTATTTTACCACATGACATCACAAGGTGGCATACAGTGTTTTCCAAAGAGTATAACATTTTAAATATGGAGGGTGAGTGTTGAACATGTGTGTCTGTATAAAGAAGTGGACTAAGCGAGCATGATGTCACCCATTGCGTTCGGGTCCACTTAAATGAAGCTCATGATGTTTGCAGTTAGAGGGGTGAATTTGGACCAGGTTCTATATTATGAATAGGATTTTTTTTAACGGACAAAACAGCGGAATAAAAACACTAGGATCATGTAGACCGCGAATATTTTAAGACCAAAATGACAAGGCTCACAGCAGCAATTACAGAGAGAGGGGCGACAATATTCCAATGTAAGTCAATGAGAGCCAGAGTCAGTAGGAGCCGGAATATCCCACCTGCAAACTTCTTATTCGGAATGCGGTGGCGTTCCAAATTGGTGGCCACACCAGCTTGTTAAAGCCTGATCCCGTCAAAACATCCTGACAAAAACTGTTGTTGTGTCTTTAGGCAAGGCACTTCACCCATATTGCCTTGAACGAAAGTGATGTGTGAGTGACAGTGGTGGGAGGAAACGATGGTGCAAATTGCCAGCCTTGCTTCTGTCAGTCTGCCCCAGGCCAGCTGTGGCTTACCACCACCGGGTATGGAGTGAATGAATAATGCTCTGTAAAGCATCTTTGAGTGTTCACAAAACCTCTATACAAAACTGATGCATTATTATTATTATTATTATTATTATTATTATTATTTATTATTATTATTAGCTATGTCCATTTATATACAGTCTATGATTATCCACTTTCAGTTGTTGAAATGCAATGCAAATTTTAAGGTGCCCAGTGTAACTTTTCTGGTGGAAGACCGACTTCCTGCTCATCTTCATGGAGATGGTGTCGGAAATATTTCACAGTATTGCACTGAACAAAATTACAGATGTTTCTATTGCTCAAATTGACATTACTGACATGTAACTTGACTTGATTATCCCCATGAAGATGTTTAATGCCATACTGTTGAACATGCAGGCAAAGCAACATCTCATTAGGGACAAGCAACAAAAAGTTATAGAGCCCCTTTAAACATTTATAATATACTTATTTAGTCAACAGTGTGCAGAGGACTTTTTACCATGGCGCTGGGTTTGTCTATAGATTAGTATGGAGTGTTTTGAAATACCAAAGTGTCCAAAGTTGTTTAAATGACTTGAGCAAAAGCTAAAAATATAGGACTTGCACATATACCAATGCCAATAGTGGCACTGGATAAAAATGAATGATTTATCAAATAAGTAATTTTCATTTAAACAGCAGGTGCAATTGACTTTAAGTTTAAAGGTGCACTGTGTAACTTTTCTGGTAGAGGGTCTGTCAAATGCTTTTCTTCATGGAGATGTTATTGCTTCATCTGCAATGCTTCACAGTATGGTATTAATCTTCATGGAGACCAAACCAGACCAAATTACTGGTCAGATCTGTGGAGAGGCAACACCATTCACAGTCAGAATGCTTTTTTAAAATTATTATTAGGTATTTTTGAGTTATCACACCACCTGTAACAGAATAAATATAAGGTAGAGCTGTTTAGTGTCATACTGTGGAACATTCCAGGCAGAGCAATGACATAGCCATAAAAAGAAGAAGGCGAAGGACCCCCAATCAAAAAGTTACACAATGCACCTTTAATAAGCTATCCTAAATAAACATCTTGTACTTGAAATCATTGAGTTTGTGTAAATGTGCAGAAATAGTGTGACAGCAGTTGCTCAGAGACAGAGACTGAATCATTATGAAACACCTTTTGTGCTCTCACCGCTGGAGTCCAGAGACGAGACATTTTAATTGATTTGCAGAAAATCCTGAACAAAGACCGGGTTTGTTCTGTTTAAATGAGCAGATTGAAAGTAGAAAGTTGGGTTGGTGAAACTAGTGAGTCATTGATTCAGTCTCTACTACAGTCATAGATATTCTGCCCTAAATATAGATTACTGGATCAAAGATTTATGACTATTATTCATTCACTTTCTATATAAACTGGAGAGTGGCAAACATTCACTTCCATGGGCAGTTGTTTTTCACTACATAAAAGTCAACTGTATGAATTAGATTTTTATTATTAACTGATTCAAGACAGGACATGACAATAGCAAACTTGAATTTCCTTTAACTATATTGGAGGAAACCATAGTACATATAAATGCAAAAAAAAATTAAATAAAATTGTATGTAGTAGTAGTAGTAGCTATGGTAGTAGCAGCTTCGAATGTAGTTGTAGTATTAGTGGCAATAGTAGCAGCAAGGTTGATGGTTTGAATACTGCGCCATATAAACCTCATTGGTAGAGTGGTCAGATCAATGGGAGATGGAAACAGCTCCCATTGATCTGAATGAATACTGTGTCCTTGGGCAAGACACTTAACCCACCTCTCTCCCAGTGTCTGCATACACTGGTGTATGAATGTGTGTGTGAATGGGTGAGTGGTTCCTTGAATGTAAAACGTTTTGAATGCCTACATAAAAAAGCTCAATTTAAATGTTACCATTTTATCATTTAGTAGTAGTAGCAATTGTAGAGGCAATGTAGTATTAGTTGTAGCTGTAGTAACAAATGTGAATTGTAGTTGTAGTTTTAGCAACAAGTGTAGCAGTAGTAGCAACAAAGGCAGCAGTAGTGGTAGTAGTATTAGTCGCAACTATAGCAATATTAGTAATGGTAGTAATTTTGCTAAGTGTGTCTTGCCTTCTTCTTTCTTATTCTGCTTTTCTGATCAGATAAATGACTTGATGTGATTGTTGCCTGCATAGAGACACATAAGCAAGTCATGGCATGTGGCTGTTTAGATATTCACTTGTTATTTATTGATATCTTGATTAAATTCGACCTTCACTCTTGTGTCTGTGGGCGGCAGGGGGTGTGGGTCAAAAAAATAAAAAAAAAGAAACTGGAGGAACAAAACAACCAGTATTATATTGAGTGGGCTGAGTAGAGTGACCTTCAGAAGGGCTCGATTACATGTGTCTCACTCACAGATAGACAAATGCATTGACTGCTCTGCTATTCAGTCTGTGGTTATAGTGTGTAATAAGGCTCTGCTTTAATGTGAAGAAACTAGTTCTTATAATATTCAACTGAGCCAACATTAAGGCAAGGAGGGTGGGGCCATCCAGTGAGTAAAAAGAAAAATCGCCTTGACAAGTTATCTATGTGTAGTAGATATGGGTGAGGGCTTCTGTTTATATGGGATATTTTGAGCACTCTTGCTCAAAAGATATAATAGTTTTGAATTGTTAGTTGCAATGACAGTGATGCTAAAACCCTCTGAAACCCATAGACAGAACTACTAGGAGTAGGAGTAGTAGGTTATAAAACCAAATGCAAGTTAAAACAGCAACTTGGATTTAAAAAAAATATATAGACTTTTCAAATATAAGCCCCACCCCCAAGGTTGATCCATGTGACAAGATCAAGTTATTTCTAGTTTTATTGTTTTATGCAATCGAATATCATATCACCATCCTGTAAGGTGACTGTCTGAGTATTTTAGTGCACAGTTTCTCACAGGATTAAAGCTGGACCTTATGGACCACAAACCCAATTACAATGCCCCTCCACCCATTCACCCTCTCCTTCCTCCACCCTCTCCCCTACCCTCAGTCAAACAGCCATGGACGCATGCTCAGATGCCCTGTCAGCGTCTTGTGTGGACGCTGCTGTCAGCATCACCTATAGCTCTGTCTGCTGCCTTGCCTATACAAACTAAAATATGTTTCATCTTTATCTTTGAGGAAATTAGCTCCAAAATGGTTTGCTACCATACGTTTTTTTTTTTTTTTATTTTATCTTGGAAAATACTAAAGCACTTTCTTAATTACTCTTAAAGAAAGGAGGGAATTTAATTATGTCCCTAATTCCCATTAAAGGCAGAAAACATGATTTGTTTGCATAAACACAACAGAGGATATAGGTAGAGCAATGAAAAGTAGTTTTGATTAAGTACTTACTCACTTATTTAGTACCATACTTTTGTTGTTATGAGCAAGACACTCAACCAACCTGTGCCTACTTATTCCAGTTTAAACTGGAAGGGAACCCAAAATAAAAAATATAATAGCTATATCACCTTGCAGTTTTACTGTGGCAACCCTGTATAACTAAAATACGCAGTGGATAAAAATGTTGTTGATGTTTGCAAACCAGAGCATTTCTGACAGGTCCTGAGTTATACTGAGTAAGTATTTCCTGCAGTGGTCCATATGCTGTGTACCTGTTTGGCGCTGTCTATTGTTTGCTTTATGCCTGGTGAGTCATTGTAAGAGAAGAGGCCGCACATACAAAACAGTCTGCAGTGGTTATGTGATTGCTTCCATTAAACGTGATTATGCAATCAGCAGCAGCAGTGAGACAGGAGAGAGAAGAGGAGGAGAGGAGGAGGGAGAGAGGAGGAGGAGAGCAGGAGGAAGAGAGGAGGAGGAGGAGGGTGGGTGATAGACAGAGGCAGGGGCGCAGGCAGCGGGGGGATCACACTCTTAATAATTATTATGAAACAGACTCATGTGGAGAGTGTGAGGCTCTGAGCGCAGCATGCATCAGGTCTGTCCCAGAACTGCGCACTACATGCATTTTGAAATCTGTTTAGTACAACTCCAGTCACTGTTATTTATCTTTTGTCACTTTATTTGTCCTTGCAAACATAAAGACACATATTTGAGAAAATAAATTAATAATAGTCCTGCACTTATTTGGAATATGGATGACCAGGGTGAAATGCAGCTTGACAGTATAGAACTCAGGTTGGAAAGTCATAAAATATCTGTTACTTGGAAAGACCATGAACATACGTATTGATCTCAAACTTCTGAAAATGTGTTGTTTAAATCCATTTAGTATTTTTCTTGAGTTTTCAAACGTACAATGTCACTGAACGTAATTCCCTCACAAATCTCTCAGAAATCAACATTACACATTTTCTTATATTCTTTTATCTCTCTCTTTCAGCCAAGAAAGCTGCAGATGGTTCGGTAATCGCTAACGGATACTGTGACTTCTGCCTGGGGGGGTCGAAGAAGACTGGCTGTCCTGAAGACCTGATCTCGTGTGCGGACTGCGGGCGCTCAGGTAGGCCCCGGCTGCAGGCGGTGCTGGGCCGGAGGGAGGCCGTGCTCTGTTAGTGCACAAACCCAAAATCTAAGGACCATACCAGTGCTTCTGTCCAAACACTCTACATGTACAATACAATATTAAGCCATTCAACAGCCTGTGTTCGCTGTTACTAATGAAATATGAGAGAGAGCTGCTCTTCATGTGGGAAAATCAGATAATACTTTTGGAAATGTGAAATAGCTTGAATCTTTGCACTTAAAGTCTATGTTTATTGAACGTATGATGAGCTTATGGTAATTTATTCATTCACATTTCATTGTGATAGGTTGCTTGTCTCCCAGACTATAATAACAACAGAGTAACATAAATAAATAAACATTGCAATTCACATTTGGTATAGCTATTTACATTGATGCCAAGATTTCTATTTTGTCTGTGGCAAAGAAGACCCATATCTTGTGAATGTGCAGTTATATTTTCAGTCTTAAAATGCTTACATCCTCTCACATCTGAACATTTAAACTACTGATGGTTGTGTGTGCTAATTGTGAACTTTACTGAAAGTTGTTTACAACTGAAGACTTCTGAAGCAAAACTAAAAACTTGAAAATGCTTTTTAAAAAGTGGATGTAAAATTATTTTTTTCATGCTGTATGTTTGGTACACACCATTAATGAGCACCAGTATCTGTGACCCTGTTTGTTTTGACATGTAACTCTGTGGCTGTATTTGATTTCTTTTTGATGTATTCATACACACTCATGAATGAAGAAAGTGCATTTTGGCATTTCCCCTTTATATTCTGTTGGTGCATGTCCAGTTTTGTTGTACAGACAAACTTTACTTTTAGAGAATTGTCAAAGATGTATCCGAAGCACCTTTGAATTTGTATCACAGAAGTGTGTTCCTTCTGAATGTGAATGTGGTAACGTGAGACTAGAGTAGACTTCTATAGTTTTATATGATGCTCCTGACGTGTTTGTGCTTTTGTTTGCTTTTGAATCATGAGTCAACTCTGGAAACTGAATATTTATGTGTAAAATGGCCTAATTGTATGTATTGTACAAAGCTCCTTCTCTACATGACTCCAATTATACAATAAAAATGTGAACCAAAAGTGCACATGTGGCTTGTAGTAATTGGGCATGTGAAATATTGGTATGGTCCTTACACCTCACATTAATATTATTGTATGTACAATATAATATTATCTTATACAGGCCTGTCCAAACTATGGCCCAGGGGCTATTTGTAGCCCTCAGAACATTTTTGTTGGCCCTCTGACTTCCTGCTGTTGAATTGACCCATGATGATAGGCAGTACTTTTTGCTGCACCTTTAAGTATTTCTTCAACTATAACCTCATCACACTGCACTGTGATACAGATCTACAGGTAATGTTCCAAGCCTCATTACACATATGGTTGTTCTATGCATAACACTCAACCATCCATCAACCTGAAGGGCTCTGTGCTCCTCTTTTAATAAGTCTTGGCCCTCTGCGATTAAAGTTTGGACAGCCCTGTATGAAAGTACCAAAAACACCAAAAGTGGTGTACTGAAGTTTGTCGCTTCTCAAAATGTTCGGGATACACAGTGGCAGGGTGGTTAGCCTTCCTGCATCTGCTCTCTAAAAAGGCAAACTCAGTTTATCATCATCAGAGTACAACTGGGTTAGTAAGGCACTCAACACAATTTGGTAATTACTCAAAAAAAGGAAAGGTGAAGACTAAGGATGCACTGATCTAATGCTGAAAGATTTTCTGTATCTGACATCGTCTTCCAAATATCGGTTATGCTGATATCCTGGTTGGACAGATGGACTGATCTAATGATTTAACTGGTCATAGTTGGCCCAGAAAGTCTCACAGTGTTAGAACTTTCATTTATACAAAGCTGTAGTTACTTGAGAGATAAATATCAGCAACAAAGTTCATTTGGAGCAGTTTGGTTTTGTTTTATTTTTGTTTAAAGAACATAAAAGCTGCATTCAGTCTCTGCGCTAGTTGTCTGGGTATATAACCTATATTATCTTAAACCTGTATTATCGAAATTGGCATCAGAATTGACAAAGCTGTATCGGTGCATCCCTAGTGAAGAGCACAGTTGAAGATTATGAATGTATAACTGTATACCCACTGGGCAGTACAATGTGATGAAAGAAGTGCCAGTGTGTGCCCATAGAAACTGTGTGTGTGTGTGTGGTGCACCAGGACACCCGTCGTGTCTGCAGTTCACGGTCAACATGACGGCCGCTGTGAGGACCTATCGCTGGCAATGTATCGAGTGCAAGTCCTGCAGCCTGTGTGGGACCTCCGAGAACGATGTACGCACTGTTTAATTTATTACACAAATATCTGTTACTTAATAAAAATACTTAATAAATAATTAGCTATAGTGGTGCGTTATCTAAGGTGATGTGTTAAATCGTATTACATCTCTGTGTGTTTAGGACCAGCTGCTGTTCTGTGATGATTGTGACAGAGGCTACCACATGTATTGCCTCAGCCCTCCCATGTCTGAGCCACCAGAGGGTAAGACAAAAATATTTCCATTTTAACTTTTTGAACTGTTTTGGACAAAGACAAAAAGGTTGAAGTTAATATTTGATAGGAAAAATTAGTTATTTGTCACCAATGATTTATTCAGCTATACCTTCATGTGCAATGAAAGACCATTCATGCAAAGAATACAGTGTTCCTAAAGTGCTTTGCTTAAAGACGCAACAGTAGTGGTCAGTAGATAAGCTAAAGCCACTTTGGTCAATATCTTTGTTCAGTAAGGGAACATATAATGCACTGGACTATTTATGTTGGGTTTCCCAGGTTGCCCAGTGTTGGTTGGTGTATTTTGAAAGACTTGTGTGTGTTTTGTTCTACTTTTCGGAAAAGTGCTGTTTTCACCTACCCCTTAGCCCTGCCCACAACCCTGCACTTACTTGTGATTCTTTGAAAAATTTAGGATAAAGTAATTTGACATCTTCTTAAAACATTGCTTTAAAATTGACTCTCATCACAAACAACACAACAAGTAGTATATACAGTATATACATACAGTATATGATCATAGGTATATCACATTGGACATAAAATGGTTGCTCATGGTGATGTTTGATGCTGTTGTCATGGTGATGAGTTGTGGGAAAGATTCTGTTTCCATGGAAAAGTGTCACTCGGTTGAACATACATAAGCCACACTCGCTAACAGTGTCAGCCTCTGCCCACACATCTTCATTTGCAAGGAACCCAACTGCTTTACACCTACAAAGACCTCGCTAAAGTCTAACTGAAATGAACTAAAAACATACATGCACGCTGTTTGAATTTAGTTGGAAATATTGAGAAATATTTATCATAGTTTTACATCAGTTAAGTGGCAGTCTGTGGAAAAAAAGAAAAGTACAAACATTTAGGAAGTAGCGATGATAACCGATGCTTTCTGTAAGAAAGTGCAGCAGAACTGTTCTTTTTATGGAAAATGAAATCTTTTAATATCAGTATGTTCTTATGACCCTGTTTTATCAGAGTTTTATTGAATCAAGTCTTGTATTTTGTATTGTCTTTTGGTTTGGTACCATTTCTGTGTCCAGCAGACATTATCTGTCTCGGTTGGTCAAAGTGTCATTGTATGTTACTGTATCTCTGACACTGCTGCAAATAAATTTCCATTTTGGGACAATAATAAAGTTAATTACATCTACTATTGTACAATTTAGACATTACATTACATACATAACATTACAGTAACATGTTGCTAAGTACCTCTACATACTGTACATCATATCTGCTGTCAACCAGGAAGCAAAATTATAAACTTCACCACTGTTCATTTTTCCCCCCAAAATTAAACAAACAAAAACTAGGCAGGATTTTTTTGTTAAATCTTAAACATACTTACATTAACTATGTTTAAGTTAAACAACAGAAACCCAAGGGTCAAATATACACAGGGATAAGGATAGTATGTACAAGTGTAATTAATGTCTCAAATCCAGTGATTTGAATTCAGACTGAACCAGTATAATGTGATTGACTGAGAAACCATAGGGACTTGGATCAGTAGAGGCACTTAACACTGTTTAATCTGCAGCTTTACACTGGGATTAACACGCAAAAGACATCTGTCAATATGAAGACAACTCACATCACAGCTGCAGTCAGTCAAGATACTGTCATGTTTTGTTTAAAGATCCTATATTACACTAAATAGACTCTCAGAAGCCTTAAAACCATGTTATAATGTTGTAACCTCAGCAAAAACATACCCAGAGTTGTGTTTTGTTTCAGTCACACATTTGAGTAATCCTTTATTATTAGTCTGTCTACATCTCCAAAGCTCAGTATGCTCTGTTCCATTTTGTGATCTTTTAAAATTATAAAATAGCGTAATATGGACTATTTAAATAGTCAAAAACATTTCATTTAATAATATACAGTACATACACAACACATGACGGACTAATTCTATGCATTCACCATTTCCTTAAAAAAAGCCAAATAGTTTCTTTGGTGGAAATTTGGTGTGAAAAGTTTGAGAACCACTGGATCAGAGTGCAGCCATGTTCATCTTTATCTAAATATTGAATGGCAAAATATATTGTTTGTTGTCTGTCTGTTGCAGGGAGCTGGAGCTGCCATCTGTGTCTGAGACAGCTGAAGGAGAAAGCCTCAGCCTACATCACTCTCACCTAATCCACCGGGCTGCCCCTACAACTACCCCTACAACTACCCCAAACTGCCCCCTTGTCGTAGCCCATACCCTCTCTGTGCCCCCGGCCCCTTCTCTACAGCCGTACAATGTGTTTCTGACTTTACACTGAGCACATAGCATCACAGGGCTCCCTCAAACCTCATCCTCTGCCTCCACTAATTTCCACTGATTGGTTACAGACCAAATCAACCAATGACAGGACCCCTGCATCCATAGCCCCGCCTCCCAGTTATCTTCTAGTTGTGTTTATTAGAGCACTGCCAGAGGGATCAATGTAATTTATGCTGTTGGCCTTTATCCATGGGTTTCAGAGTGATTAAAAGTTAGGATCGTCGCCATATGACAATTTAAAACAAAATATTGCATCCTTTAAATTTGGAAAAGTCTTCAAAATGTCACCTATAACAAGAAGTTGAAACCCACAAATAGCCCATGTAATTTGAATGAATGGGTTCAGACTCATTATATATATAAAAGTGAATAAATTAAAAGTGCACTGTAAAAGATGGTAGCATCTTTTTTTCTTATCAGCACAAATCGCTACATCCCCTCCCAGCACACCAGGATTCATTTTCTATGAAAAATTTACCATGCAGTAGTTTGGTGCTGACACAAAACTTAACAAAATCATGTCTTTGAACTCTTGGACAAAATCAGGCAAATATAATTGATTAAACTGGATTTTTTTTTCAAACTTCCCAATTCCAATCTTTTTTTCTTTTTTTTTTCCTTTTTTAGACATATAATAAATAATACATAATAATGCATTTATAGGATAATGGATTAGAATTTCACATGACAGTAGAGAATAAACACAATTTAGTGCTACTTTTGGCAAATTCACTGAACATGATTGGATACAAAGCCAAAAAACTAGTTAGTGTATTCCATGATTTTTAAAGGTGGACTATAAAACTATTTTGGTGGGGGATACGCCATTTGTCTGTGCATTATATATTATTTCCTTACCTGGAAAGTTCCACAATTTGGCATTAAATATACTGTATCTGTCATCATCGAGCCAGCTTCATCAATGTATTTTTTAGCAATTAAAAAACCTGTAATTGAATGAATCAAAGATATGATAATACCATACTGTGGAACGTTTAAGGCAAAGCAGTAACATCTCCATGGAGACAAGCAGGTGGCATACCCTCCATAAAAAAGTTACATAGTCCTCCTTTAAAAATCATAATTCAATTAAATTCAATCTTTATTAAGAACACGTAATATCTGGTTCATAGTATTTAAAAAAAAAAAAAAAGTAAGAATAAAAAATTTAAATACAGAATATTCTTACTAGTATTTTGGCTTTGTATCTAATAGTTTATCAATGGACTTGCAAAAAGTAGTACTAAATGATGTCTCAAGTGAAATAATGTTTTAGTTTAATTCTAATCTATTGTAATATAAATGTTTACTTTGTTTCATCTTTAATCCCCTATTCCCCTTAGACCTATAGCATGAGTAGCATTGGTGGGCAGGGCTATGGGAGGACCAGTACTGCAGGTCACTTTATTAGCTGTTAATACGACTTCTGTAGAAAGACACACACTCCAGTCAACCAAGAGCCCTCCAGCGGCGCCCTCCTCCACAGGAAGAGCCCTCCGTGGACCCCTCACATCTCCAGCTCAAGGACTCTCTCAGACTTAATAAGATGGATAAGTGCTAGGCAGAGGATCAGGGCTTGGATGACTCGGGTACCCACAATGCAACAGGTTTTAGCAGGTTAACCAACTGTGAATTCTCCGATAAACTTTAAACTCCTCCTTACTCTTTCTGGTTGTGGCACAGTTAAGACTATTTTTTCTTCAAATTGTACAAAAATGTCTTCATCAACTCCCAGCACAAAATACCATACATAGACTTTTTGCATGGGATTTCAACCGCATTCTGGCATCCAACTCGAAATTGCCGATCAGGACTAACTAACTGATCCAAGACCTTGTAAAATGACTATTTAAACTTAATCTTTTGACAAACTTTTCCTTCACCTTTCTCGTCAAATGACACTCCTGGTGCAGAATGTATTAAGATCAAGTGTGGACAATGCAGAAATTGTTAGACCAAATGAAATGGTCTTAAACTTTTGTGAATTATTTTTTGCATGTAAATTATTTTTTGTTGCTTTTGTTTTTAATTTGAATTGTAATGGAAAAGAAAGCACACTTAATTCGCAATAATGTGATATAATGTTGTATGTGAGTGTGTGAATGTGGCTGTTGTCTAGAAGTACTATTTGTGGCCAGCTGCTTTACATTTGTTCAGAGACAGAGAGGACAGTGATGGAGTACTGAATGTATGTCTTTACCTCCTGAGATAGAAGGACAATATAGGTACCATAATGCCCCATAGTTTTTCCAAATTAAGCCCTTCAAATGACACAGCGGCAATGTTTGATTTAACACCATATTTTTTCTTTTCTCTCCCAGGCCCTCAGTTGAGAATAATTGGTCATGCTTATGTTAACTGGCCTGTATCTGACTTATATTTTCTACTTTAAGAAAGCAACTATTTGTGGAGAAATTTTCAATTGAATGATACTGAAACAGTTTGAAAAGCCACATGTTGAATGAAAACCTTATGGAACCAGTGACTATTTCAGTTTTCTCTGTCATGGGTCAACATTAGAAACTCTGGGTACAGGTCCTTTAACACTGAAGTGGTACCAACCCTAGATTATTTATTTCAATCATTCATTATTGTATTCTGCATATACATAAACAAAACCAAAATACATTTACCTTTAATTTTTTCGTTATTGCCCCTGTAAAGGTGAAAGAGTTGAACAAATGAATTGCAAAAAATATTCTGTATACAGTAGCCAAATAAGACAAACAGTTTGTCTTATTTGGCAATTACAACTTACTCAACAAAGCAAGTTTTAAAGGTGCATTATGTAATTTTTCTGTTGGAGGGTCCACCATATGCTTGTCTCCAGGGAGATTTCATTGCATTGCCTGTAGTGTTCCACAGTGAGGCACTACGGTAAATGATCTATTCATTAAATCACTGCTGGTTTTGAAAGAAAATGTGTATTGTAATATATTATGGAACATTTCAACCAAAGCAATTTCATCTCCTGGACAAACAGCTGACACACCCTCCACCTGAAATGTTACACGATGTACCTTTAACTGGACATGACCTAATTCTTCTAATATTTCATTACTATGCCATTTAAAGATTCTGTAATACCCTCATATGATGAACACTGTGGGTGACTGTTGCTGGTACCTTTAATAGTGAAGAAGTGAAGAGTGTAAAATGGTCCAAACTTTTGTAAACTGAATCTTTCTAGTTTCTTGGCACTTAAAGGAGAAGCCTGGAGGAGTCTGATTATACTGATGCAGGAGAGGATTGTTATGGTGTAAATCTATCCGATCATTAAGCCTTTAAAAACATGGTGAGTACATGGTTTTATATTGTGGCATATTAAACTTAGTGTGGGGTGCGAAGGGCATCTAATATGAACAAAATTACCTAAATCAAAACATGCCCACAACTCCATACTTACTATTTGCTATAATATTAAAATAAATACAATACTATAACTGTGTAGCAAACAATATCACAAAAACAAAATCTTACTGAATGAAATGCCATGAGATAAAACTATGCTGTCTACCATTTGGGGAGAGGAGTGGCCTGTATGGGTGTATTGTTGAAATTTAGGCCATTCTTGTAAAACTGTTGTTCTGTGATCTTGCTTGCACTTATTAATTTCCAAAAATGTTGAATTGTAAGTTAGTTTTTAATGAGTGAATGGGACATTGTTAAGTATTTATTTTTTATCAATTTTCAATGTGACTGTTGGTTGTATTTTTTTACCTTTTGGAGGATAAATTCTTTTTTTAACCTCCTTATATTTTACATTTGATCTCTAAATCTTGGAGAAAGCTTTTAAACGTGGATTTTGATGCATCGCTCAAAAAACTGCTATCAGTCATTATGTGAATTCATAAGGCTTTCTCAAAATGGCCACTTTTTTGTCTCTCTTCCCTCAACTCATTTTTTCCATTAAAACATGAGATTGAACAGTGACCTTTACTTATGTCTAGTTGTGTTGTCTGGAGCCAGGAACAAAAAAGTTGGACTAGGAGCTGCATCTTGTTTTGACAATAGTCGATTCAAGTGCAGTTATTATTTTGAATAATAGTTTCTCCCATGGAAAAAATAAACAAAGAACAGCTTACATGCACAGCAGAAATTCTATTATTATCTGATTTCTGTTGTTATTAGATTATTGAAATGTCATGTAAAGTTTTTGATAATCAGATTTGTTTGTGCACAGTAGCTGACTGATCCAAAGGTTCGCCGTTTGAATCCCACTCTTGACAAACATCACTGGAAGAGCAGTCTGGACCCAGTACACAGTATATGTCATTTTGTCTTCTTATTATATTTTTAAAATGAAGAAAGGTTATTCTGTGTTTTCATAAATCCTTAGAGAAAAATGACTTCACTGCATTTGACCCATGGGGCAGTTTGTAGCAGTGGGTGACTATAGGATCTACATTCAGCCAGGTGGACCAAATGCATGGGTTTTTTTTGTCTTACATCTATTTTATAATGTTATATACTGTTCATTCTCTTTACACTTGTGTAGTTAGTAATATTTATAAGTTGCCTGAGGGTTGTCAAGAGATTCAGGAGACAGGTGCATTTTATTTACCATCTGTATGAGACCAGGAAGCATGAGCACTCAGCACATTATAGCTGTTGATTCACGCCTTGACATGCTTACATTCTAAATAAAAAGTGGACTGTATAACTTTGCGGTGGGAGGGTGCGCCACATCCTTGTCACTGTGATGATATTATTGCCTTGTCTGGAGTATTCCACAGAGCAGCATTAAATATATAAATTTTGCATTCATTAAATTAGTTAATTAGTAAACTAGTTTAATTGCTCAAAAATAACTTAAAATACATGTGCCCTTACTTCAAGTGGGGTCACCTCTTCACAAACTTAGCTGGGTGGCGTCACATGCTTGGTTTTAATAGCCAAGTCTACTACCATATTGTAGCACAATCCAGGGAAAGCACTACTCCTACAGAGAGCAGACCCTCCACCAGAAAGTTACGCAGTGCACCTTTAAGGTACACAATATTGTGTACCAGAAAGTTACGCAGTGCACCTTTAAGGTACACAATATTGTTCCCATAGAAATTTGTCCTCTGCATTTGATCCATCCTTCAATGCCGCTGGCGCAACCTGT